CAACTGGACTTAGTTTTGTCTTAGAAGACGTTTCACCTCTTATCCAAGAGGCTTCATCAGTTCATGCTTGTCTGACTAGGCTGAAACTAGTCTGACGTCAGACTAGTTTGAGAGCATGTTGTAACTTAGGCTTAGGCTGGTGTCACATTTCTCTTGCCTCCCCCTGATGGCCGCCTCTTTACTTGCACTCGTACATAATAGTATCCCCTCTCTCCTTTTCTCCCTTGGAGCCAATTCCACCGTGTAATGTTTTTCTGGGCAGTCTAAGACTCGCCTCCTCTAGGGTCATATTAGGACTAACTTTCCACCAGTGGTTTCTGAGCCCATCCTCATTTAGAAATGATACACAGTGAATCCTAGGTATTTCTCCACCACAATGCTTAAGTGCTCAATGAGTGTATGTGTGTCATAAGAATACATGAAATAATAACCCAGTGTGTGATTTGTCAGTTGCACAGGGTACATTGCTTCAACACGTATCTTTTAAAAGTCAACTTAAAGGTACAGTATAACTCTTCAGTAAATCAGTACATTACACTACATTCCCCCCTTTGGGGCTAACAAGTCCCACTAAATAGTGAGAGAGAAAAATATATATCCCCCCCTTTGGGACCAGAAGGTACCATACTACAATCTTCATGAATCAGCAAGCTTAACAGAGAGAAAAAATATATATTCCCTCCTCTGGGACTGCAAAGTCCCACTCTACCCAAGCCATTAGCCAAACATCAAACACACTACATTCTACTGATTACAGCTTGGTATAGGCACAACAAGGGTAAGGCACTCATTGTGTAATATCACTCTGTTACAGTGGTTAATCTAAAACCTAGAAAGGTGAATATCACTCTGTTACAGTGTTTAATCTAAAACCTAGAATGGTGATTATTAAGTAGTGCAACACACAAGATAAGTGACAGTGGAATACATCATCACTCCAGTGTATACATAATTATAGAACGATTACAGTAAGTGGAACACCCTAGTGATCCTGCAACTGTTGATATAGCACAGTCACTGGTTAGTAGAATCAGTGGAAACATAGGCCGACGTCCCGGCCAAACGCAGACGGCGGTAAGCTGCAACGTGATCCTTCAGTAACACGATCTCAAGCTCCAACTCTCGATAGGTTGCCAGCTGCTTTCGCAGGTTTCGGTTGTGTCCTGTCAGGATGCGAACTTGAGCACGCAGGTTGATCTTCTCCTGTTGATCCCGTTCATGCTGCTCCTTCAGGCCCCAGCGATTTTCCACCATCCTGCGTTTGTAGGTGTAATGGCGCAGCTTGTGCAGGCTAAGAGTCATCATAGAGTTGGGTGTGCAGGTCATCCACGAGCTGCTTGTATCTCTCAGTGGTGGGCGTCTCATTTTGCAGCTCGCGGAGATGTCTTTCCACTGCCTCAGGACACACGTTATATTGGCGTTGCAACAGGACTCAGGTGGCTCGGGACAATGGTCTTTGTGGCACAGGTGTGCGTTGTCAGCAGGGTTGAAGGGGTTGACGGGAGTCCAGTTCGGGATGTTCGTCAATGGCGGCTGCATAAGCGGTGGCACGTAGGTTCCTGGCGAGGTCATCGGCGCGTACTGGTACCAATAGGCTTCAATGGGGGCTCCTCCTTGGTGCACATACGGGAATGGGGGTCGGTTGGTCAGCCTGGGAGATGGGTTGGAGTGGTCTGGCCGCTCCGGCATGGCTGGGCGCTCTTGGTAGGCCAACCTTGGATTCTGCTGCTTCGGATACGGGGATGTCCAACTGCTGGCCATGCTCTGCACCTATCTATGTGTTGTAAAGGACATTGTTTAGTTCAATTCACTTTCCTCTTTTACTCCTTTTCCCCCTAATTGCCCCGTGGTATAAATAATCTATATATGTTAATCAGTCGAATATTAGTATGGGTTTGGTAACAGCAAGGTTTTACCTGAATCTATTGACAATTATTTGGTTATTTCTTACCCTGAATTGGCTCTCCCTCTATATACGACCTTGTATTCCCCCTTCCAGGTTCCCCTTCATTGGCTCATATAAGTTTATATTGTCAGCCATATTCTCACATATGTCCGTATTGTCAATCATGGTCTCATATAAATCATTGTTCAATCTTTTGGGTGCATAGGGTCTTACCCACGGTCCATCTAGTTCCCACAATTCGCCTTTCTCAGGGAGCCTTTCCTGCTGTTGTGTCAGCATAACAAATTGTCCCGTGGCTGCTCTCATGGCCCTTCTTATCAGGCATAGGGTCTTAAGGGAAGGACGCAACAGATTATCAAGAGGATAGTCAATAAAACAAGTCCAAATATTACTCCTATAGTCCGTAAGATTTTTCCAACAGAGAACTTTTCTAACCAGTCAAGAATTGATGAGGTTTTTAGTGTTCCAATTGGAATGTTGTACTTGTTGGTCTCTTAGTCTACGTATGTTTTCTAAAGCTTGAGTCAAGTTGCCATCTTCACCTGTATTCATGGGGATGGCTGTACAGCACTCTTCCCCTATTATATCACAGACACCTTGGTCTGGGGCTAACGTTGTTTCGATGACCAGTCTGTTCTGCACAGTCATTAGGGATGTAGCATGCAACTGTTCACTCACACCTTCTAGTGCAGCTATAGACCAATTTACGTTGGTTACCTGTTTGGCGGAGTACTCTAACCACTGATAAAACATATTAGATCTCCATGTGGTAGTTCTAATTAGTTTGGTGTCTTATGCTGGTGCGTTTCTGGTTCTCCTGCAGGGTTCTGATTTTACTTCGAGCTATTGTTGAGCCAGTTCTACGGGTACTATGTGTCCGGTGTCTATGTTGGCACAACCTTCATTGTCACACCAGACTCTTGCTGTCACCATCCCCTCTGCTCTACATTGTGGTCCATGCAACCTAATATTTCCTGGACCTTCCACCAACACATCATTATTATTTGTTTTATAGTAGGTCAGCTGCACTATTTCTCCGCTAGGCATCTGTCCTTGTTTTACAGCCATGGATCCTAGTGCGAGTAAACAATGGTCAATCTGCCCCTGATCCTGATCGCTCTGTTCAGCTCCCTCGCTTGGCTTCACCCCTATCATGATAAGCAGTAATGTTAGTAGCACTGCCGCTATTATCCCTGCCTGAATTCCTCCTCCTATACTAGTCTGGCCTCCTACATCTGAATTTCTCTGGCTATATGGCCTGCTGGTCTGCTGTTCCCTGTTCTGAGCCTGCATCTCCTGTGTCTGCACCCCTTGTGTCTGTGTCTCCTGTGTCTGTGTCTGCACTCTCTTGGCTCTCTGTTGCCCCTGTTTCTGTGCTGCGGCTTTCTTCTTCTTCTTCTGCAGCTTCCTCAATTTCCTCTGCGCTTGCTGTCCCTGCGCCCTCATCATCATCCCTGCGTCTGTCAGGTGTCGACTCATGAGACTCATCACTAGCCACTGTGGAGGAGGTGCTCCCCTCCGTGGTGTTCTCTGGTGATACCCTCCCTGGCAGCAACCCACTGCTGTCACTCTGGGCCCTGCTCCGATTCCGCCTGGCCGCCATACGTGAGGATCGCCTTGTCCCTTGCTCCTGCGGGGAGGCATCGCCTGAAGGTCCTCTGTGATCTCGAATCGTCTGTCCTCTGTGTCCCCTTTCACCTGCTGGAAGATGGCCCTATGGATACGGGTTAGACTTCGTAAATAGTCAAACATTTCATTTTGCAGTTGCTCCAATGGGGGCCCTTCGTAGAGACCCCTCAAACATGGTATTGGCATGGGTCGACCCATTTCATGCGGTGTTAGATGCGTGATTCTGCTGGCTTGTGAGCGCATTGACATTAGTACAAGCGGTAAAGCATCCACCCAGTTAAGCTTGTCCCCGCTATCTACTACTATTTTAGCTGTTCTGTTTTCAGAATCCCATTTGCTCTTTCTACTGCCCCCTGTGATTGAGGGTGGTAGACACAGCCAAACTTTTGTTTGATGCCTAGTTGCTTCAATGTTTCTTGTATTACATTAGATACAGAGTGTTTTTCCGTTATCTGATGATATGGTGTCCGGCATCCCAAATCTCGGGAAGACTTCTCGGCAGAGGAATTTTGCAACTGTTCTGTGATCTGATCAGGCTGTGGCTGTTGCTTCTACCCATCGGCTGTATCTGCATATGACTACCAAAACGTATCTCATACCACTTACTCTGGATTGTGCTCCCATGTCTATGCAGTCTAACATGAGGTGTCTGAAAGGACCGTCTGGAGGTGGTATATGCGCCAGTGGGGCTGTAAAAACTTTCCTGATGTTGTATCTTGCGCAAGTTTCGCATTCGCTTAGTACTCTAGTACTCTATCTACCGTGGCTGCCATGAATGGTGACCACCATGTTGCTTGCAGTTTCCGTAGGATCTCCCCCCCTTGCGCAATGGTCATTACCACGCACCCAAATTATAGCATGTTGTAGCAACAGGTTCGGTAGTACAAAATTGCCATGACTCTCTCGCCAGAGACCATTTGTTGGCCCCTGTGCTTGTGTTCTGATGGCGCCACGCTTGATCCACAGTCGTTTTTCAGCCTCACTTACTCTGTTTTGCATGGCTACAAGAGAAGGCATGGTAGTGAGGGGTTCACGGTCTTGTATGGTTAATGTGGGTGCCATTACTGCACCTATTGCTGCCTGTTTAGCTGCTACATCAGCTAGGTTATTACCTTTGGCTATCAACGAATCAGTCTTTTGGTGGGCTGGACATTTGGTTATGGCTAGGAGTTTGGGGGAGGAGCATAGCCTTCAACAGGTCATCAATAGCCTCCCCATGTGTGACTGGGGTGCCATCTGCTCTGTGAAACCCTCTTTGTTTCCAAATGTTTGCATGGATGTGGCACACTCCATATGCATATGCTGAATCTGTATATACATTCAGTGACTTTCCCTTTGCTTATCTACATGCTGCTGTTAGAGCTTTTATCTCTGCAAGCTGGGCAGAGCAGGGCTGAGCAAGTTTACATGATTGTATAGTCACAAAATCCTGATTGTTGTTGAGCTGTATGATTCCACAGCCTGCATGACTGCCTGTGGTGTCCCGAAACCAGGAGCCATCAACAAACAATGTGAGGTCAGCTAAAATGGGCTGATTGTGCAAATCTTCCCGAGCGCGCATAAATTTGTCTGTGTCATGAAGACAGTCATGTGGTGTACCTTCTGTGGGTAGAACCATTTTGATGGCCGGATTAATTATAGTACATCGTTGAATGTTGAGCTCAGAAGCGAACAGGATGACCTCATATCCTGTGCGTCTGGCCTGTGTCAAAACAAATCTGGGACTGTGCTAGTAATTTCCCTACTGTGATGGCAGTTTTGTATTATTATTATTATTATTATTTATTTATTTATTTTTAGAGATTATATTCTAATTTATGTGACCCGTCTCCTAGGGGCACTTTGGTTAAACAGCCAAATGTTCCTGTCTCCCAAATCAACTTTTCTAAGCACAACAACAATCTGCTATCTTGGATTAAATTCCACTCCGTTCTCTAAATCTTGAAATACTACCTGGTTCAGAGGAAGTGAAACTACGGGTCCGTTTTTATAATTGTCACACAAATATTGCAGCAATAGATCTAATGAGCGGGGAGTCCACAAATCATTTAAAATCGTCTCCCACTGTATACCTGGAAATTCTTCCTTCACTTATTTTCAGTTGGTAAATTTATTATCCAAAGTTTTAGTCGATTCTCTTTGCTCGTCTTGCCACTGCTCCTCACCCTCGTTGTCTATGTGGGTTCTTTCCAACCCGAAATGTGTTCTTTATGCCTCTAGTATCTACTGAGCCATCAGTCATGCAATATTCTTCAGCCCAAATTTCATCACTACTGCTGTCACCCTCTTCCATCCAACTCTTAGCAGCCTAATTTTAACTTCTCTTTTTCTTTATTTTATTACTTATTTTATTTATTTATAAAGCTATATTTATCACTTATAATTTATTGTTTTATTACTTATTTTATTTTGTTTATTTATAATTTATTAATTATTTTATTTATTTATAACGCTAAATTTATTACTTGTTTTATTTATTATACATAAAGCTAAATTAAGATAACAAAAATTTCTTTCTATTCTGCCCTTAACAACCAACCAGTTTGTATGGAGTTCACCCGAGCAACTGGTTCGATCAGTGAAACATATGGACTTTTGTTGGCACCGTTAGGTTACCCTTGTCTGGTTTTGTTTCACTGAGGCACTGTTAATAACTACCACATTTAACAACCATTTAAAACAAATCACATAAAACAAACACACAGATACCAGATTATGATGAAAACATTCAGGCACCAAAATCTCAAAAGAATTTTCTTTGTAATGACCTTTAACCCAATAGAGATCAGAACCGAACTATTAAATTTTTGTTTTACAAAGATTTGTTTTTTTCTTG